GGGGGGGGGGGGGGGGGGGGGGGGGGGGGGGGGGGGGGGGAGAGAAGGCCCGTGGGATGGAGCTGCCAACCCTCTGTTGTGGTGCCCCAGTTAATCCACCAGTACCTTTCCCAACATGGAGGCCGCACTCGGCCTCCGGTGGCGGCCAGATGCGTCGCCAAAGGTACTGCCGGTTTAACCTTCGTGTTTGCTACCACCTCAAAGAGGTGGATTGTGTGTGCGAGGGCCTGTAGGCTAGCCGCATTTGCCTTGAACAGCACGGTGAGGTCGTCTGGTCTGCAAATAGCGAGGTAAGGGGGGTTAGGTGCGGCAACAGTTCTTTTTTCTTTTTCTTTTGCAAAGGAAGCCCTTGTGCAAGGTCTCTATCCCGGAGGTGATGAGAGAACCACCAGAATTGAGACTTTGTTTGCCGGGCTGCTCCATCTATCGGTGGGGAGCGACACCTGCGGGGAACGGGGTCCAGCATCCCTTGGATACATCGATTTAGTACAGCGTTTCCTTTCCGTTGGTGGTTCTGGGGCTATAGCCTTTTTACACCCTACTCTGGAGCTCCGTCTCTCCCATGGAGCTGCCCTGGCAATTGATTGGCTTCCTATTCTAGGGCTCCTTCTTGCCACTGGCCCAGCCCTCTCCTGGAAATTGCAAACTGATCCTTCTTGTCCTATATCCCCCTCTGGCCCATCAGTCCACATCCGTTTCCGTTTCCCGGGGTGTCTGCAGCGCCCCTGTAACTTCGGCGGCTCCCCCCCCTTGGGGAGCTATTTGCATCTGGGAGCAGGTCCCAAAAGGTTTCTCCTTTTTCCAATCCTCTAAAGTGTCCTTCTTGTCGTTAAACCACCAGTACTTGGCCCAGCTATCAAGTCCGAGCCTCGGCCGACCGGTAGCCTCCCTCCTCCGTAAACCCTCCGCCTTCGGTTCCCTGAGACAGGCCCAGTGATTGGGTTTCTTCTCATCATTGAGCTCCCTCTTTCCCCTGCCCTGCTCCTGAAATGTGGCACGATGTCTGAGTCATTTACTCTGGGGCCGTAAGTATCCCGGCCCACCCTACCTGCCATGTCCGGCATAGTTCCTTCCCATCTCCCCCCAGTCCCTCCCTGCTCCTGGAATGTGCTACTCAGTCTGAGCCATTGATCCTGGGCCTGTAACTATACTGGCCCACCCTTTGGGCCCGCAACACACCTAAATTTCCACTGCTTTCCACTGCCCTACTCGCTCCCCGTCCTGCGCGATCCCCCCGTTCTGGCTCCGGAGCCTCACTTCCCCATTGGCCCACCCCACCCCTCCGGCCTCCTTGACACCCCCTTTTGTGCCGCCCTTAGGTAATCTGTTGCTGTTCTGTAGACCCCTCTGATGTTGTTGATCCCCTGTCCTTGCTGACCCTTCCTCTGACTGACGTTGGGACGGGGAGGTACCCCCGGAGAGAGGAGAGCGTGGTCGAGGGGTAAGGGGTGAGGGGAGGGGGGTGAGGAAGAGGGCAGTCGGGCGGGGAGGTTATGGGGGGCACCGGACGAAGCAGGAGAGAGGGGGGGGGGCGGGGGGGGGGRGGGGGGACGGCAAAGGGACTGCGAAGTGCGTCAAGGGGCTTTAAAACCCATCTGTGTTGGTCTCTCCTCCAGTTCTTCCACTGTTGCTGTGTCCGCTGGAGTTCTGGTATGCTTATTTTTCCAATGTCTAGATTGGCCCTGATCATTGCTCCCAGCGTCTCTATTACCAAGACAAAGAGAAGGGAGGGGCTATTGGGTCACCTTGTCTTGCCAACCTTTGCAGGGCCAAGGGTGGGGCCAGGTACCCTTATTTTTTCAATGTCTGGATTAACCCTTTTTGAAAAACAATTGATTGTGCACAAGCTGCGCTCCTTTTTTTGTTTTTGGTTTGGGTGTTTTGCACTTCTATTTTGTATGTATGATGAACTTCAATAAAATACGCTTTGGATGCAAAAAATGCCAATCCAAATTGATGAAAATAAGAAAAAAAAGGCTTACTAAGAAAGTAAACACAACATATTCCCAACGCCTCTATTACAAAGACAAAGAGAAAGGGGCCCCAGGGGGGGGGGCCGGGGCGGTATGGGGTCACCTTGTCTTACCAACCCTCGCAGGGCCAAGGGTGGGGCTAAGTGGCTGTTTAGCATGACATTTGTTGCTGCTGTTCCAATGAAATATGTTTACCTAGTTAAACAAGAGAAGGGGCAAAGTTTTTGTTTTTCCTTGAGCATAACTCCAGGACATCTATCCACATTGTCGTCTGCTTTTTTTTTCAAGTCGATAAAAAAAAGTGACCACCATTTTTCCTTAAGCATAACTCCAGGACTGCATCTGGCCCCCTGTGCCTTGTATGTCTTATCTTTTCATTGACCAGCAGGATATTATTCTGGATGTCATGACGATCAGGCTTGAATCCTGATTGGTCTGGAATCTGGATGGATGAGTTTTGGGTATAGGGCCAGCGGTTTGTTAGCCCCGGCTATGCATCCCTATTGCCAACCGCCCTATTGGCAAAATGGCTGGCCCCATTGATTTACGATAGGCATATTTTTGGCAATAGGGACGAGCCGCCTATTGGTAGGCAATAGGCAAGAACGGGACTGGGTTTAGCCAACAAAAAAGATGTGTGTTTGGGAATAGACGGTGAAATAAAAAGGCTATAGGGGCAGCCAGAACACCTAAGCACTCACTATGCGAAAAATGGTCAAAAGATATGGTTGTGTGACTTACTCTCGACTTGGAACGGGCTGAGCTGCAAAAGCTCCCCTGGTCTGGCTTATTCTCATATCAGCCCAACCAATGACAGGGCAAACCAAAAGATATGTGTACTGGCAGTACACCGTAAAAAAATGGCTATAGGGAAGCCAGAAAACCTCCGGAACACAATGCTAAAAAACGTTAAAAGATGGAATAGCTGCATGACTGTCCACTCGAACTCTGCCTGACCGGCAATAGCTCTACTGGTCTGCCTATTCTCATATCAGCCCCAACCAATCACAGGGCACTGCAGTGGCAGCCGAACCCCCGGATTGGTTAGCATCCCACTCAGTACCTTGCCACACCCACTGTCGAAACGAAAAAAGAACGAATGCATCTGCTTCAGATAGTGGTAAGATGCATCCGTTGCTATTCATAGTAACTGATGCATCTTGCCATTCGCTGCAGGAAGATGCACTCGTACTTGTTTCGCTTCGACAGTGGTGTGGCGAAGCCCTCAGACTTGGAACAAAGCAACCAGATAGTCCATAGATGTCTGCCGACCCCAGATTGCTTAGTTGCCCATTCAGACTTGGAACAAAGGGGGTGGGGGTATTACCCCCCCCCCCCCCCCCCCCCCCCCCCCCCCCCCCCCCCCCCCCTCTCCTCCTTGCACATACTGCGAACTGTCCACTCCCAAAAAGTTGGCCACCCTCACAAACACTGCCCCTCCTGAACTGTCCAATGGCAACCCAAATATGGAGGTGGTGGGATTACAGCATGGCATTGGCATTATCTGACAGGAAAACATTCCAATTCCATGGCTCACAAAATTTTTACTGTTGGGCAAACGGACTCAGTAATCAAACCAATGGCCGAAATTCACGGTGTAGTTATTCAGCTAGACAAGATTATCAGTACTGATGACAATATGGAGAGCTAGATGCGCTTTCGAGAGAAGCAACATGACTTCAGATTCATACAGGCAAAAAAACAATATCGGAAGAAACAATCCATACCAAAATTCACGACGGCTGACAGAAGACGAAACAGGATCTCAAAATACAAAATGATCACACAGAAAGAGTCCAACTAATCAAATCATTTACAAACATCTGGTGATTCTGATTAGACCCAGGAAGAAAGCTTTGGGCCCTGGACAGAGACCATAACCTTGTATGCAAGCCTCGGCACTCATGGGAACATCAACGGGAAAGGCTACCAATGAACCACTTCTCCTTTCCCATTCACCCTACCAACTTTATTCTCCTTCCAGCACCACAGTCAGCACATCCAGCACAGCCACCACAACCAGCACAGCCAGCACCGCCAGCATAGCCACCACTGCCACGGGAACCCCGACCATCACCCCCTCATGCACCTCTGAACCCTCCCCTTATTCAATCTCTCGTAATGTCCATGATGCCGTCACAGACTCCACCTCTAACACCCTCTCCCTCCACCTGTCCATCCGCCTGAGCCCTCCCTATCCCTGCTAGACCCACCTATTCCCCCCTCCCCGCTATCACCCACATCTTCCCCCCTACTTATTCAATCTCCCATACTGCCCATGAACCCGTCACACACTCCACCTCTAACACCCTCTCCCTCCAGCTCTCCATCCTCCTGAGCCCGCCCTGTCCCTGCTAAACCCACCTGTCCCTCTTCCCCACCTATCATCCACATCTTCCCCGCCTGATTGCCGGGCAGCAATGGTTCTCTCTCCACAGAAAAATGATTGTGAGAACGGAGTCAGGGAGGGGGGGGGATACATCACATTAAAATCGTAGGAGGATAGGGGACTAGAGAAAAGAGTGCCAGAAACTCGTTGGAATGAAAAAAAAAAAGGGTTTTTTTTCTGTACTCGAATGCCACTGAATAGGAAATGGATGCTGGACCTGCTTGCCAGCCATGAACTACAACAGAAAATCTGCAGAACAGGAATGAAATGCTGGACCCGATTTCCAGCAGTTGACGTTCCCCACCTATAATAGATAGGAGCCTGCACGTCCATGGGATGGGACCTGCAATGAGGGGCTGCTCATATCACTCCTTACAATACGGCTTCCCCTTGCAGTTTCTCTTAAAAAAAAACAAGTCAAAAAAGAAAGACATGGCACGGCAAGGATGTTACCGAGAGAGGGAGGGAGGGAGGGAGGGAGGGAGGAAGGGAGGGAGGGAGGGAGGAAGGGAGGGAGGATCTGAATATATTTGTCTGCTGCGCTGGTTGCATGCCCTACCGAACGATGACATGCCTTGTGCTCCGCAGAGTTGGAAAAAAGAGAAAAGAATTGGTGCCCAATGACGTGGCGAGCAGAAGATACGGATTCTCGGGGAGCTGATTACAGAAGGTAGGGGAGGTGGGAGGATCTGATTTTTTTTTCTGTTGGGCTCATTGCATGTTACCCGATGTCGTGGCGGGATCGGGATCATTGGTCTGTTCTCTGCTTCAGATATCACAAACACACGGCGCGCTGCGACAACCTGACAGGGAGCAATGTCCGTTCGCCAGCCTTCGCTGCCCAACTAGGTTCTTCTTGTCTGCATCCTCCTCTTCCTCCTCCTCGTCTCCGGGAGCGGTTCCCCTGTTTCTGCCGGAAACAACACGTGGAAGGATATTCTTGTCCCTCTCACAGCTGCCGGCTATGGCGGTGGAAGAGATGGAGTGGTACCCCGGCATTGAGATATCCGTACAGAGGGCGAGGAGGGGCCACTGCTGCAGCAGCTCCAAGAGGAGGAGGAGGAGGAGGAGGAGGAGGAGGAGGAGGATGGTTGTTGGGACATGCTGCTCAGTGGATTACGAGCCGGGAGTTCGATCCGGATCGGGATTGGAATGACGGTCGAGATCGGAGTTTGCCTGCGAAGGCCGTTGATAAAGCCACTGCCTTTGATAACTTGGACACATTTGCAGAACCCAACGGCTACTTCTCTTGGAATGGGGTGGAAGAGTTGTCGGCAACATATGATGGGATGCCACGTGGCAGGGACGGGCCTTCCTCATCATCTATTGGCAGAGAGATCGAGCAGGGAGAGGAGAAGAGAGGGAGGAGGGGAAGGGGTGGTCGTGAGAGCCGCACAAATGGGAGGGAAGACGAGGGCGACTCCGCTTTGTTAAATAGTTTGTCAAGTGCCACATCGTTGTCTGAAATTTACCGGGAGGGAGAGAAGGGCAATCAAGGCATAAATGGCGCGGAGGGGGGCCAAAAGGAGTTGGGTAAAGAGGAGGAAGAGGTGGTTTCTCGTCGATACCCAGGAGGACGGGAACAGGATCGAGATTGGGACAGATCTGGCAATCGAGATGGGCGAGGGAGGAGGCGCGGTGGATGGACCAGGACGACCTATGGGTCTTCAGGACTGAGGGACAAGGAAGGGAGCAGCAGGGGTGAGAGAGAGGGAGAGGGAGAGGGTCGGGCTGACAAGATGTCATCAGAGCGAAGACCGGAGCGCGCCACGTGGAATCGAGCAGGCTGGTCAGAGGCACGTGGCGGGAAGCCTGGGTCGGAAAGGGGGACAGGGGGGACGCACTGGAGGTCATCTGGCCACGTGGGCGGGGCTATGGAGGCTCGAAGATCGGGTGCCTCAGAGGTCTCGTCGCGAAGAATGTCACGTGGACAGGAAGGAGGAAGGAGGGGGGGATCTGATGCTGACGTGGCGAGACGGATGACAGGCATCCATGGAGGAGGGTGGTGGTACGAAGGTCGGGACCGGGATGGCAGATGGCCAAGGGTACCGAAGGTGGAGACCAGGATGGCAGATGGTGTTAACCGTGGCGGTCGTCGAGGTTCCCCATCTTCCCCTCCTCCCAATCTGCCGCTGCAAGGGAAGTGCCAGGAGCGGAAGCAGTCTTCCACGCGTCACGGGGAGCCCGGAAGTGCCATGCGTGCTGATGACGTGTCCGGCGGGCTAGGAGGAGAAGTAGGTGGTAGCAACCGACGATCGCACCAGAGTGCGCCGCCATTGGGATCGGGAGAGAGGAGGGAGAATCCGAAGAGCCAGAAGAGGATAGATATGATGATGATGAAATGGTTAAGAGGCACGGAGGTGGCTATGGTGCCATCGAGCGATGACAAAGAGGAACTGTGGATGGATGTTCGTGATGAGGAGGTAGCAAAGAAGTACACATCATTACTGCAAGACGATAAACTGAATGACGTGTACGGATTAATGTATCGGACTCTCCAGCAGTGCTTACACTCTCCCCAGGGTTTGCCGACTTTGCGGAGGCAAAGGCGATCTTCGTCGAGTCAAGCCTGTGGCAGTCCCTCCTCCTCCTCCTCCTCCTCCTCCTCCTTCATGTCCTCAGTGGCAGCCATTGATGCAGGAGCAACAACAGCATTGTCGTATTCCTCATCAATTTCGATGCTTGGTCGGAAGGAAGAGGAGGACGAGGGGGAGGAGGAGGAGGAGGAGGAGGGGGGGCGGGAGGAGCAGCAGGCGGCTGTAGTAGATCACATGCTCATGCTGAGGGCGTGCCTCAGGCAAGATAACCTGCGATTGGCGTTTGCCTATGCTCTGCTGATCCCGGCATGTCTAAGTTGTTATCATGCCATCATGTCTATCTGTGCTAAGTGGGGGAATCTCGAAGGCGCTGTCCAAGCACTCCGGATCGCACGCAGAAGAGGACTGGTGTTAGATGTCCTGTCGTATTCTATCGTCATTACAGCCTGCGCAAAGGTGTGTTTCACAGGCTACTCAGACCCTACGCTGGCAAAGCATCAGCGATCGAGTCCTCCCTCATTTCCTCCTCCTCCTCCTCCTCCTCCTCTCTCTCTCCTCTCTCTCTCTCCTTTCCCCCCTACCTCTCGCTCTCCCTGCTGCACCTCTGTCCCTTGCTATATTTATCTCTCTAGCTGCACAGACATGGAGTGCTCCATCTATTATACATATGTCTCTGTACTTTTGTCTGTACCTGCCTTTCTTTTTCTGTAGCTGGATTTTTTATTGCAGTGACTGGTTTGCAATTGCTTTCTTTCACTATGAGGCACGCACACACACACACACACACACACACACAATATGTAGTAGCTCTGTGACATAGCACCATCTGGTTTCTTGCTTGATTTTCTGTTCTTTTGAAAATATAATATAAACTCGAGCCAATTGTGCGTCAATCTCTTTGTCTGTGTGGCAGGCAGGGGATGCAAAACGTGCTATCGCTATGTATGAAGACATGAGAGCCGCTCAGATTCAGCCGAACACCATTGTGTACAATGCATTGATTGGTATATTGATAAAGACAGGCCAGCTGGAGAGAGCTCTTAGCCTGTATGACAACATGATAACGGTGAGTAGCGGTGATTAACCGTGGTAACTGTGAGTGTAAGTGAGTGGAACAGTTCAAAGAAAAAAGAAACGGTGACAGCAACGCATTGATTGGTACCTTGACAACGAAGCTGAGCTGTAGAGGGCTGTCGTAGCCTATACAATGGCATGGTAACGGTGAGTAATGGTGAGTAACGGTGAGTAAATGTGTGACCAAAGGTGAGTAACGGTGAGTATAAGTGAATGAAAGAGTACGAAACGAAATAAGCCGAGCTGGATAAGGCTGTCGTAGCCTATACAATGGCATGGTAACGGTGAGTAACGGTGAGTAATGGTGAGTAACGGTGAGTAACAGTGAGTGACGATGAGCAAAGGTGAGTAACGGTGAGTAACGGTGAGTAACGGTGAGTAACGGTGAGTATAAGTGAATGAAAGAGTACGAAACAAAATAAGTCGATCTGGAGAGGGCTGTCGTACCCTGTACAATGGCATGGTAACGGTGAGCAACGGTAAGCAACAGTGAGCAACGGTGCGTCCAACATTGAGAGTGGTGGAGCGAGAACGCCCTTTGTCTCAAAAAAATCCAACTCTGGACAGGTCTCAACCCACTCTTGACCTTTATGTAGAACAAGTGAACTCGCCGCGGCTACGCTCGCGGCACCGTCCACACTGATGGTAACTCCACGTCCTCCTCTGCCTCGTCCTTCCTGATGGCAGTCATTTTCCATCTGTTCCTCCTCTTCCCTGGCTCATTCTCGCCTTCCCCCACCTCCTCCATCCTCCTCCCATTTCCACCCCCCTCCTCATCTCCCTGCTTCTGTGTCCTTCCCTCCTCCACCTCATGTTCTCCTGCTCACCTGCCCCTCGTCTGTTCCTCCTCATGTCTGTCCTTCGTTGTTCTCCTCCATGTGCCACCTGGCATGCACCCTTTCAATGCCCAACACAGGTCGTACCATGTGGGCTGAATGGAACTACATGGGCGATAGTAGCATGGAGAGACAGTGACAAAACGATCACGGAATGTGAGGAGCGGAAGGAGGAGGGTGCCACCACTGCTCTTTGCTCTCCTCCCTGGGCCACGCTGGTTGTGTGCCCCTTTTTCTTTGTCATTATTATATTTGGGCTTGTCGTCCCTCTTGTCCTTCTCCCCCCCGGGAGTTCGTCCTTGTTTTACAGCTTCTCCTCATCTTTATGTTCGATCACTTTTCAATTGGCATGGCCCCTGTGCAAAAGCAATGCACATAAGTCGGGAAGTGATACAAATTAAAAAGGAGAAACAAAAGGAAAAAAAAAATGTTATCGGCCTCGAATTCATCTGGGCTCCTCTTCCATGTCTACCTCCTCCTCCCCCTCTTCCTTCTCCTCCTCCTCCACCTCCCCTACCTCTACTCCTCCTCTTGCTCCGGCTCCTGCTCCGCTCCTCCCGGTTCCGCTCCTTTCGACAGAAGTTAGCCAGATACATGTGTTACTATAAATAATACAAGACGTATTTGGTCACCTTCTGCGGGACAATGCTGTTTTTTTTTTTTTTTTCCTTCCCTTTTCGTAATTAGTGTGGTGAGACCCAAGGATGAGTCAGTGGAGCCAATTCCGGTGTGTGCCACGATCTTGTATTATCGACTTGACGGTCTGTGTGCCCTGTATCGGTCAAGTGCAAATGTTTGGTTGGGTAGTGAAATGCAGATGCTTGTTTGAAGATCCCGCTTGGGCAGAATGCCGCAGTGGATTGGGATTGGGATTGGGATTGGGATTGTCTAAAGGGTTGAGGAGGAAGGCCCTGCCATAGGTCACTTCAATATGGGCCCGATTGATTTTCGTTGTTATTATTATTATTCTGATTTGAACAGAACCTTCTGGTCCTGTGCGCAACCTATTCATATCTAGGTCTTCGTTGGCGATCCGACGCCCGTTATCTCAAACCAACTTGTAACTCCTGACACTGACTGTCTGATTTCTCTGCAGTTGTCCTGTAGGCATAGTCCCACAGACGTCGGGCCCTTTGTGTCTCGATGATCTAGAACTGGGTCAATTGCATTTATGTTGAGACCCCCCAGGGGATGAGAAGTTCGCACCGCAATGAACAACAAGATCTCTGAGCCCCATTCTGAGCCCCATGAGACGCTCCAGTGTCAATCCAGTGGCTGATCTCTGTTTTCCCACGGAGTCCCATTATCAGTTAGCTGACAGATTGCCACGGAGTCCCACAGAGTCCCCTGAGAGGGGACTGAGGGAAAGGCAAGCTGACAGTCGATCCTCCACTACAGTGGAGCGATCAATGCTGTTCAGGGAAGCTTCGGCCAGATGGAAGGGGGCGTGTGTTGAGTCCCATGATGGAATTCGGCTTTTATGACTTGCCGGGGGAATAGGAACCGGACTGACGCTTCCCAGAAAAGGAAAAAAAAAAGAAGAATTAGATAATCGAGTGGTTGTACCAGCCAAAGCTCATTTACGTATGATTATAACATCTGCTGATGTACTTCACTGTTGGGCAGAGGACCTTCGTTAGGTGTCAAATGTGATGCCGTACCTGGTCGTTTAAATCAGACTTCCGTCTTTATCAAACGAGACGCAGTTTAGGCAAGTGTTTCTTGTCATCCTGCCAAGGATTGTACCTCTGTTATAATGAAGCCAGAGATTTGTACATGACTTGTGACATACTGTATTGTACACACATTAGGCTTTCTTGACTGAATCTAGCCACTATTGGTGCAACTAGTGTGTCCCATAGGATTTGAATTCTTAATCTGCTTCGTTAGTTTTGATAAGAGCGTCATCTTTTTCGTTGTCATTGTTATTGTTGTGTTTTATTTTTTTCCGTTTTTTTCTTTTTTTTTCTTTTTCGACTTTTAACAGGTGACAACCTTGACATATGGTAGAATATACTCTTTTCTAATTCTCATTTCTATCCTTTTTCTTTTTCCTTTGCTTTGCTCTTCCCCATTGTTGGGGTATTTCGTTTTACGGACCTACGGTATGGTTCAGTTTTTTCAAGTGTTGGTTACGGTAGAATTGTTGGTATTTTTGGTACTCTTTGTCTGCATCCCGGTTGGTTTTGTCTCGTTGTTCGTTCCACGTGGCGGTGTTTTCGTGTGGGTTGCTCAGACCACGTGGCGGTGGTTTCATGTGGGACTTGTCATCCAGGTTTTTCCTTTTGGCATCCTAGTTGGCTGGTTCCGGTTGTTTGGCCTATTGATGGGAGGCGGTGCTTTTAGGTGGGAATTGTCATCTGGGATTGTCTTTATGTATATTTTTTGCAGGCAAGGGTGTTGATTGCTATCCTGGTTGGTCATTGTCCCGTCGTTTGGCCTGTGACATAGGGGGCGGTGCTTGCATGTGGGACTTGTCATCTAGGATCTGTTATGTTTGTTTTTTGGCACCCTTGTCTGCATCCCGGTTGGTTTTGTCCCGTTGTTCGGTCTATTTTGGCGAGCGTAGCGGTGCTTTCATGTGGGACCAGTCATCTGTTTTTTTTTGTTGTTCGGCCTATGAGAGCATGAATGGTTTAGGAATGGGAATACCCACGTCTTGATGACGAACAAGGCCATCTGCTGTATATAGTTTTTTTTGCAGACAAGAGTTTTGCCCTGGGTGGTCTTGTCCCTGGGTGGTCTTGTCCCGTTGTTTGGCCTGTGAAGGAGGGGCGGTGCTTGCATGTGGGACTCGTCATCTAGGATCCGTTTTTGGTGCTGTTGCTTGTTGCCCCCTGTTTTGTTGTATCTGGCTGTTCCCCTCCTCTTTTCTTTGCCTCTTTGCCCTTTGGCTATGTGCAAGTGGGTCGATATGACACACGGGGGTGGGGGCAGCCACCGCTCAACCTACATCCACGTGGGCGGCCTTGTACGCAAGAGGTTCTGAACAGGGGGAGTTGTAAGTAAGAAGATAAAAAATGAATTGATATCTTTTTTCAAGTTTTGTTTCCTTTTGTTTTTTTCGCTTTTGTGCTCTGATAACTTTGTGACAATATATATCATCATTGAGCTGATCGGCCCCAGGTAATTGAGAATGACAGTACTCTGTTCATCCGGTTCCATCTGGATTCGAACTCAGGTGTGTATTTCAACAGGTCAGGGGTGTACCAACTGAGCTAGTTCCGTTGTCATCACCTTCGCAAACCAAGAAAGTGACCAGACATGCTGCTTCTCGTTCACCTTGTCCTCCTCCTCCTCCTCCTCCTCCTCCTCCTCCTGCTGCTGCTGCTGCTTCTGCCGCTCCTCCTCCTCCCTCCTCCTCTTCCTACTCCTCCTGCCACTCCTCTTTCAACAGGTCAGCGGTGTACCAACTGATCTGTAGTCCCGTTGTCGTCACCCCTGCAAATCAAGAAAAGTGACCAGACATGCCTGCATCTCCTTCTCCTTCTCCTCCTCCTCCTCCTGCTGCTGCTGCTCCTGCTGCTCCTCCTCCTCCCTCCTCTTCCTACTTCTCCTGCCACTGCTCCTCAACTCCTCTTCCTGGCACTGCTACTGCTGCTTCTCCTCCTCCTCCTCCTCCTCCTCCTCCTCCTCCTCCTCCTCCTCCTCCTCCTCTTCCTGGCACTGCTGGTGCTCCTGCTACTTCTGCTTCCCCCTCTCCTCCTCTTCATATCATTCCTTTCCGGAGTCTTGTTTGATTCTCTTTTGCGTTGTCTATGCTTACTGTTTCTGCGTGTTTGCTCTGACTGTTTTGTATGTCTGTGCCTCCATGATCGTTTCACCCATCCATTTATTTTAGCGGCTCGTTGCTTGCTGTCGGTTCTTGTGCATGGCAGAGCAATAATCTGCCGGACATCAAAACGTATAAAATGTTGATGGCTGGGTGCGCAGAGGATCCAAAGCGACTGCAGAAGGCTTTCCAACTTCTCATGGACATGCAGCAGTGGCGATTAATCCCAGATGAGGATCATTTTGCTTCTCTTATCTATGCATGCAGCAAGGCTGGGGATGTGCAAAAGGCGTTCGAGGTCTATGCTGCTATGCTTGATGTCGGGGTAAGAAAGGGTATTTTATAATTTTTAATTTTACCATTTTCAGCACTTACATATCGTCAAACAGAACGGCCCAGTAAACCATAGGCAGAGACGGAGAAGAGGATGGCAAGGAATCCGTTATCACAAGGAATCCATTATCACAATTTATCAGTAACCACATCTGCGAGCATGTGACGTAAACGGTAAAACCAAAAAAAACAGCTGGTTTCAAATTTTACAACGATAATAACAAGGACAATTGGTCCTGTTGCTAAATATACACCAAATTCTCCTTTGGGTGGGGAGGGAAGGAGAGAGGAAATGTTAGAAAGACTCAAAATTTTTATCCTTTGATTACAAAGTGTCGCGCACCTGTCTTCTGACAGGTATGGCACAGACGCAAGAATCACTGGAGTGGACAAAAATGACAAAACAATTCAGCAGAGGTCCGAAATCAACCGATCAGTTCAACTCACGGAAAACCAGACTCTGACAAGGAGGGATCACAAACATTGAGACCTCAAAGAGGGAGACAGACATGGAAGAAAGAACCCTCTTTGCCCACATATGAACATGGGTCGAGACCATGAATGATGGGGGGACGAAGAAGACAACGAAGAATGGCAGTAAGAGAAATAAGGAGAAGAAGAATGGGCTTCTGAAAGGATATAATAATAATAAATTAATAATAGTAATAACTAGGCTACCAGCCGGGCGGCCCGGGTCACCTTGTTTGCCCGGGCCGCCCGGCCATGCAAGGACCAAAGAAGGTCCCAGCAAAAAAAAAAAAAAAAAAGAAATACAAAAAATCTGGAAAAAAAAAATGTTATGCAGAAAAATAAACTGAACAACTTTTGCCACAGGATCACATCGAAATTCTTTACCAAATTTAAAATATATACATTCTAGGCTACCAGAGTGGCCCAGGACCACTTTATATATATATATATATATATATATATATATATATATGAAACTCCGACGAAACAGTTTGTCACAGCCCCTCGTTTGTTGTCCTCTTCTCCCTCTCTGCCTACGGTTTACCGGGCAGTTCTATTTGACGATATATATATCGTCACAAACAGATATATATAAAGTGGTCCTGGGCCACTCTGGTAGCCTAGAATAATATTAAGTAATTAATATTATTGCAAGGAAAATGAGCAATAGCGAAATGACAGAATTCCAAATTGCAAAATCACATTGAAAGCCAGATAATCGTACGCTGTACAGAAAGCAATAATGCACCGACATCACACCGAAGGAGGAACAAAGCAGCGAACTCAATTGTTAAACCACCAGTACCTACCACATTTTTCGTAGCCTCGAATGAACTTCGACCGGAGTGGCAGGCCTATTCGGCTTCCTCGCTAACGGCCGCCCCAACGGGTAGGTACTGGTGGTTTAATGAAAGCCCTCTTTTGCCACCACCAACAATGTACTCGAAGCTCTTTCTCCTACTGGCGCTCAGCGCCCAGACTACGGTCCTACAGCTACTGCACTGTTCTATCAAATTGTCGAGGCAACCAGTTGACGTAAGCAGCAGCAACTGAAGTACATGCAGATGTTGTTCATGTCGTTTTTCGCCAGGACCAGGTACGTACTCTCACATCCCCTCTCTCTCTCCTTCGCTCTCTCGATGCCCACCCTGGACTACTCCCACAACTTCTTTCCAAACCCCAAAGACTGCGACTGTGCTAGCCCAGGCACTTAACGCTAGCATACGCTAGCGATTGCTCCAGTAGCGCTGCCGCCGGGCATGCAAGTGCTGGAATCCCCTCTTCGTGGCCAGGCTCCTTCCTATATGGAAAGCGCCCTGGCCTCTAGGCTGCTTGGCTGGGAGGCCTGTGCTTCCAGTAGCTTCTGGTTGGGCCGAAGTGTCTGCGCCCAGGCCCGTTCAGACAGTGGCCTGGGCCCGCAGCAGTTAGGCGCGCCCAGTCACCCAATTAGGTGTTCCCTGCTTGCTGATAGGCCGAGAGGCCTGCTTCGTCGTTGAGGAGAGAAGACCCTAGAAGGCTCACTGCAAATTCTGATGCTCGCGAGCAGGGCGTATGTAACCAACTGGCGCGTGGTAATTGTCTGGTGCCCACAAGGGTTGGCAAAAATTGCAATCTTTGGGCCACTTGAAATACGGGCCCCACCTTCACTTAGGGCGGGCACAAAGCTTGCAGCGGGGCCCCCTTGCAGCCATGTCGATGACCCATATCCTCACATTATGAATACAATACAATAATGATAGTAATTATACCTAATAATAATAATAATAATGATAATGCAATCAGACTCGTTTTCAAACACACTTTCCACACATGTAAACAGTAACGCAGCACACTGGCGACATGCGCCCACTCAAAACTCAGAGATATGGCTTCAGATACGAATTCATTCCTGCGTGAGCCATGCGGAAGCGCTGCCACAGCGACTTGTGCAAAGAGGTCTGCAGATGAGCCCGGAGGACGCAGTGGGCAAGAGAGGAGGAGTTAGCATAGCGATAGGTTAGAGGCAGCCATAGCTGCCATAGCTGTAGTTAGTAGTGAGTGTGTGTGTGTTCGAGTGTTAGAGTGATGCGTGTGGGATATCCAGGGTGATCCAGTGTATCTCTGAGTTTTGAGTGGGCGCATGTCGCCAGTGTGCTGCGTTACTGTTTACATGTGTGAAAAGTGTGTTTGAAAACGAGTCTGATTGCAATAATAATAATAATAATAATAATAATAATAGTCAAATAATTACAATATAATAATCCGTCCTGCACTCAAGCTCCACCTCCATTCGAGGCAGTGATGGCAGACGAGTTAGTGACAGTCGCTCTCTCCTGCCATAGCCATGCAAGAAGAACACATGAAGAAGACTGTTTACCGAAGCTCTGCCGAGGACGACAAAGTGAATTTCCGTATTTTCGTGTAATTTCACGGAAATCGTTGTCGCACAGACATGATTATGTTTCGGTATTTCCAGGTACTTTCCCCTTTTATCTGTAGTGATTGATTCTGTCTGTTGCCAGTGAGAGGTACAATTCTTGCGGTCTGTGAATGTATTTGGTGTACATTTTACGTGCACATTCTCTCCGTGCATGCACGTATTGCAAGGCTTGATTGTGGCAAAGGCAGGGCTTGAATTAAAGACAAACTCTTTTTTTTTTAATGCTCTCCTGCTCTCTTCAATGTACGCTTTAGGACAGTCAGCAAGGAAATCCGAATTACCGAAGTCTGGAGTTTCGTTAAATTTCTGTTTGCGTGTCTTCACGCGGTTGTCAATATTTGTGTACGGGCGAGTGAGAGGGAAGCTGTGAGGATTGATGGAAGACGGAGCAGGACGGTGCAGAGAGACGTTGGCAACGGTTGATTTGTGTTGCTGAATGCACTGTGTGGTTTGTAAATGCAGATGACTGCGAATGTCGTTCACTACACGGCATTGATCGATGCGTGTTTGAGATCGAAATGGATCAAAAGAGCATTCGATATTTTCTCACAGATGAGGACGGAGAACATCCATCCAAATCAAATCACCTTCACCTTGATGCTCGAAGCGTGAGTATTGGAGAGTTTCGCCGAACTGCCTCTACTCTTCCCCGCCGGCCTCTCCTCGCCCCTCTCTGTTTTTTTTTTTTTTTGGTTGTTGTCATCCTTGCGCAGGGGCCATGCTAATCTTCTCTGTATCGTTCCAATTTTAACATACGTGCTTGTTCTCGCCCTTTCTGTGTGGTGTGTGTGATCCATTCCCGAATATTTGAAGGTTAAAAAACATTGAAAATTTTCACTGGCCTCCTCGACCTCCACTGACCCTCACTCCTCCCCCACTCAGGCAACTGCGCGCACTCACCCTTTCCATTCGGGTCATGCTTTGCAGAGGCTCGTTCTGCTGCCGTTTCGTCGCCAAGATAAGACATATTTTGTCCTGCGGCATGTGGTCTTATGCATTTGGCCTACATGACATTGCAGGGAATGCTGTCGTTTCAATCTTCCAAGAACATAAGGCAACATATAGTGACGAAATTTCATGAAAACATTTTCCGAGTTATGCTACAAGACTTGTCTTCTCACTGTAACTCCTTTTGCAATCTAGAGTCTGCCCGTCCGTTCTCTGAACGACTGTGCAGTAGAATGGCGTAGACGGGCTCGGCTTGCGATAAGATTAGGATATAACAAGTCACGAATGATGCTCCATGGAGAAAGACTGTCCCTGGGGTTGGCACAAGCCATCTGATCCCCTCACTGGTTGAGTACGACGACAGGCACCTCCAGAGGCCTAGCATCCACCCTCTACTATGACATGGACCTTTCTTTTTCAAAAAAAAAAAAAAAAAAAGAATGGCGTAGACGGAACGGCACTGTGTCAGAGGAGAGCTAAACAAAGAAAGTAACTTAATTAAGATATCACATATTGATTCTGGATTGTTTCTTCCTAGGTAGTAGGTACGCAAATATCGCGTGGTAAAAGCACAAGGTACGGAAGAAGGAAAAGATTGGTGTTGCGTGAATTTATGAGGAATTTCAAAATTGTCAAGTACACTGCGAGAACAGGGGATTTTTGAAAGGAGAATGTGTAATTTTAAGAAAAAAAAAGAAAAAAAGAAAAGAAGGCAGAGGTGGAGGGAGGAGTAGGGAAGTGCAGGGAGGTGGTGTAGGGGGTAGGTAATCTGGAGCTAAGTAGTGTGTTCTATATTTAGCAGAGGGCTTGTCTTTTTGTCAATAAGTATGGGTTATAGCACACCTGATAAGCAATAGTTGTGGGGTTAGGACAGCCTATAGATATGGGGATAGGGAAGCCAATAGCCAGGCTCTATGGGTGCAATGCAGTTCCCGTGCCACGTCCAGTAGGCCGGTAGTATAAGTCTATAAGCAGAATGATCAGTCTTGGCCATTCCTGATTCAGTCTGTCTCGGTCGTCTTGCCGATTCCTAATTGGTCGGGTGTTGTCCATTCCTAATTGGTCCGTCTTGCCCATTTCTAAGTGGGCAGTCTTGTCCATTCCTGATTGGTCGCTGTTGTCCATTCCTAATTGGTCATTCTTGTCCATTCCTAATAATTGGTCAATCCTGCCCATTCCTCTATTCCTCAGGCTGTTGCAGGCCCCAGCCACATAGCAGCTGTTCTTGGCAATGGGACTCTTTCAGAAAAGTAAGGGTTAGATCAGAAAAGGTGTACAGGTTGCTGCTCGTCCAGTGTGTGGATCTTCTGGGTTGGTGGAACTCGGTCCTGTGTCATTATCATCCACTTTGGTGGGCACATACTTATCATGCGTTTAACACGCGATCATCATGTGTGCATGCGGCGGTGTGGCACTAGATGCACTGTTAAGTTGCACGTGAGCATGCGTACATGGCGCCTATGCATAAAAATTACCGTTTCCCATGTCGGCCTCGGGTGGGCCTCTTTGAGGAGGCCGAAACGAAACGACGGCTGCCGATGAGATTCATCAACGGTGGACGTTGTCGGGCCCAGCCCCCGATTTTTCAGTGGGATCTTGTCCCGTCTGTTTCCCCCAAAAGTGTATGTTGACGTGAAAAATCGCGTTGAAGCATTTTTTTGCTGGGATGCTATCCCAAAACCATATTTCATGAATTTCCAAAAATAGAAAACGAGAAATGGTACGCTATATAACTGGTCGCTATCTGCTATAATAGCGTCCATTTATGGATAGCCACCAGTTATATAGCGTACCATTTCTCGTTTATACCATCTGTTTATCGATGTGAGCAACAGACTTCTTCTCTCGTCACGGGGATGAGAGCCCTTGCCTGATGGGGGTTCTGCCAGTTTGATGGCTTCGATTTTGTCACCTGTACCCTCGTCCTAACTGGTATAGGGGGTTCTTATCTCGCGGAATTTGGATTTCTCGGCATCCACATCAGCATGTATAGTACGCATTTCTAGAAAGTTTGTTTGACTCTTCGATATGCTTCTGGCGATGTTGGTGCAGGTGTGGAATTCTCGGCGATTTGGAGCAGGCCATGGCCGTGGCGAACATGATGAGGTCTAGCGGCATTGAAATGGACTGGATTTCGTTCCAAACTCTTATGTCGTTGTGCGCCATACGTGCTGATGTGGATGCCGCTCAGCGCGTGCTTGACTGGATGGCGGAATCTAATCTTCCACCGGATGAAGACATCTATGCTTCAATGATTCTCTCTTACTGCAATTGCAATCGTGTTGACGAGGCTCTTCAAATTCTCAGAGATGCTGTTGTCGAAAAACGTTTTCGGCTATCAACGGAGGCGTACACTCATCTCATCAACAGGTAATCTAAATTGTAGCTGGCAGTTCTTCATACAACCACTCAATTCAGGAGTTCATTAAAGTTGTTTAAACCAATGGCTGAAAGTCACTATAGACCTGTTCATCCATCTGTGCGCGGCCACTCACCCACTCATCTGCCCGTGCTTTTGTCTGTCAGTCTGTCAGCCTGCCTGCGCACACGTGTGGCCGCCTGCGTGTCTGCTCGGACGGCCAGTTGCTCACTCAACCTTGAATGTCTGACCAAACGCCCGGCCCCCAATGCGCGACTCCCCTAAACTCTACCCTACCCATACGCTTACTCGCCCAAACACTCGCCTGTCGAAATGCTCATTCCAATGCCCAAATCTCACCCAAGCACCCCTTGGCCTGCCCAAAAGCACTTCTATCTGCCCATGCGCGCACCTGCCCACCCGTACAAACACACCCCCTGCCGCTCCTGGACCGCTTGCCTGGATGCGCATTCGCCTGGCCGCTCGCCTGCCCCCACCCTGAAGCCGATCCACTTTCTCATTTGTTTTAAACCCCCCACTGCCCTGGTGCATCCCAAGGGCTCCGGCGGTACACCTGCTGGCCGCAGGATGGGTCCGCCCACTGGCAGCTGTGGGGTCATCCGACTGACTGTTCACTTGAAGGCGGAGGAGATGTACGGTGTGTTGCAAAAAACGTTTGCGCCATCCAGGACAAATTCCTTTAAGAACAAGGTATCGCGTCATGTCCCCCATGTGAGACCCACAGGCACTTTTCGTGCCCGGTTGTCAGAGGGTTCTGGCCCGTGGTACACTTGGTTGGGAGGGGGAAAACACTGGAAGGCCAGTTTGTACTGGGGAACACAAAACAGATTTTCGCCTCGCAGCAGGTGACACAAATTTCTTTTGCATCAGGCAGTTCAAAGAGGACTAACGCTACGCCAGGCTTCCTCACATGCCATGAGAGCGAGCTCATCCGCGTGCGCGCTAGAGAGAGAGAGAGAGAGAGAGAGAGNGAGAGAGAGAGAGAGAGAGAGAGAGAGAGAGAGAGAGAGAGAGAGAGAGAGAGAGAGAGAGAGAGTTACGATGGAGTTGGATCGCATGTTCTGTTGGCCAAGCTCATGGGTGTGTGGAGACCTCCATGACAAACCTTGGATGGTTTTCAATGATTTATCTTTTCTGAGTTTTCTCAGTTTTGGTAACTGTTTTTTCTTTTGTTGTGCTTTTTTGTTTGGTGTCAGTAGGCGAGTTAAAACACACACATGCAAAGAAAGTTGCAAACATGTATATAGTATTATCGTATACACATACACACACACACACCCAAGCAACATAAGAAAATAATGTCAACTGTTTGAACTTTGTGAACTTCGTGTGGATCTCATACTCGTTTTTGCATGGGTCATGTCGGTCATCAGGTTCGGGAAACTTAAGCAGCCTGGTCGAGCTATGGAGGTCTTCAGGATGGTACAGGAGAATGGCCTTTCACCAACCACTCAGATTTACAAAGCCGTAATCAATAGTTTCCATGACGCAAAGTGAGTGCTCTCCTATGAGTCCTATCTCCCCTGACATTCCCTGCTGCATCATTCACCTGTCAATGTCGAAGACAGTACTCCCCCCCTACTCCCTTCTCCCTTCTCCCTTCTCCCTACTCCCTACTCCCACCTCCCTACTCCCTTCTCCCTTCTCCCTACTCCCTACTCCCTACTTCCTTCTCCCTTCTCCCTACCCCCTACTCCCTACTCCCTACTCCTCCCTTCTCCCTTCTCCCTTCTCCCTTCTCCCTTCTCCCTATTCCCTTCTCCCTTCTCCCTTCTCCCTTCTCCCTTCCCCCTTCTCCCTTTTCCTTCTCCCTTCTCCCTACTCCCTACTCCCTACTCCCTACTCCCTACTCCCCCTACTCCCTCCCATCTGCCATGCATATATGTCTACTTCCCTCCTCTCCCTCCCTCTTCCCTTCTCTGTCTGCCTACCTATCTACATACACTCTCCCCACCACTCTTCCTATCACTCTTTCTAATGATCTTCCTTTTTTTCTTGAGAACAATGAGAAGAAAAAACAGGTCCTTCCTAATGCTCTCTGATGATCTCTCCACCTGCCAAAGCAGCAATCATGCACAGATGTCCTGTTAGGGGAGAGATGAAAGCTTCATATCTGCTTGTGTGTCTGTCTGTCTGCTTGCTCGTCTTCCACGTTCTTGCTTTCTTGTGGTGTGCTCTCACATCTCTGCACAATCTGTGATAGTCAGAAGGAAGGCATTCCATAACTGCTGCTCTCTGTCTGCAGAATTCGAGCTGTGTGATTGTCCTCCATGCGAGTGTTGCGAATGCCTGCGCTGGAGGCAGCAGCCAGGCACTCTCGAAGAAGAAGAAGAAGAAAAAGCAGAAAGGAAACGCTGAAGGAGGACAAGGAAATTGAGAAAGCAGGAGGCGAAGCAGAAACAAATGCGGTAGGAGGAGGGAGAAGCAGGAAAGTATGTGCCCACACCCTTGATGGCTGGACAGGTACACAATACTAAACATTAGCTAGAGTCCTGATGGGTAGCAATTATAGCAGAAGCTACCCCAGTTCAGGGAGAGTGAAGAAGGCAGGCAGGAAATCCTGGAGGAAGGAAGAGAAGCAGAAGGAAATGCGGAAGCGGGAGGAGGAGTGGGCAGAGGAGAAGAAAGGTTGGCAACCGTGGGCGAGAAGGGAAAAAAGGAAACGCGTCAAGGTTCTCCTTTTTTGTTGCTAAAAAAATAGTAAAAATAGATATAGGGGTTATGGATACATCTTTGCGAGAGTGAGTCGGTTGTTGCGAGAGTGAGTTAGTTCTTTGCCCAGTTACGATACTTCTCACAGATGCACACGTCTGACGACACCGTCATCTATTCTGTCCTTACGCAATCAGGTTCTCAGAATTGGAGCCAGCTATGGATTTGTTTGAGGAAGGCATCAGCCGCGGACTGTTGAACAACTTTGACCTATCACGCTTGGAATGGGGTGAAGAAAAGGCGCTGGTGAGTTAAACATCAACCTTAAATCCTAAACCCTAAACCTCAGACCCAAAACCCTGACCCTAAACCCGGAACCCAAAACCCAAAGCCTTGAACCTTGCCCTGGAACCTGAAACCTTAACGCTTAACCCGGAATCCTTCGCCCTTAACCCTCAACCCTCAACCTTCGATCCCTAATCCTTTGCCCTTAACCCTTCACTATGAACCCTAACCCCCCTGAAACCAGAAACCTTAACCCTTAACCGTTAACCCCTAATCCTTAGCCCTTAGCCCTTAACCCCTAATCCTTAGCCCTTAGCCCTTAACCCTCAACCTTCGACCGTTAACCCTGAACCCTTAACCCTTCACCATAAACCCTAAACCCCCCCAATCCTTAGCCCTTAGCCCTCAACCCTCCACCCTTCACCATGAACCCTAAACCCTAAACCCTGCACCATGAACCCTAAGCCATTAACCCTGAACCCTTAACCCCTCACCATGAACCCTAACCCTTAAACCCTGAATCCTAACCCTTAAACCCTGGACCGTTCTGTTGCCCCTTCTGTTGCCCCTTCTGTTGCCCCTTCTGTTGCCCCTTCTGTTGCCCCTTCTGTTGCCCCTTCTGTTGCCCCTTCTGTTGCCCTTTCTGTTGAACCCCTCCAAGGGTAAAACCCTAAACTATAACTCGTGAACCCGAAACCCTAAACCCTAAACCATTCAGGTACCCTTCTCTTGACTTCCGAAGTCAATGTCGGCCCATTGACTCTTTCACGAGTGTGCCTGCATTTGTGTGCCAACCCTTCCATGGATCCCTTTTTCCGAAATAAAGTGAAAAGACCTTGTAAGTCAGGGTTGTCTTAAAAAGAAGTGACAAGAAGTCTATTTGCGGAGTCAGCTGGTTAGTGGAGGCCACCAAAAACCTCACAGCGATCGATACAATCGGCTTTTCCATTTTTGGAACAGAAAATCACTCATTGTATTTGGATTATACATGGAAAAATGGAAGTTTTTCATACCATTCAACCAGTAAATTTTTTGTTTCTATTACTTTACAAGTCACCCTTGGAGGCTTCCTGGTTCTCTCGCAAGTTGCTGTCGAGAAAAAGATGTTATGCAAGTTTAAACCACCCCCCCCCCCGACACATCGAAATTAGCTTATCACATTGATTCTGCCTCAATGTTGGGGGGGGGCATGTGCTGTCAGCCTACCGGCCGCTGGGGGTAGGGCAGCCGGGCGCCAAAATTTGAGTGTAGCAGCTGCGACGATTTTTTGTGGTAAGATTTTCACGCAAAAAATTCTTTAAAAAATTAGGTCCATAGAGTTGCTAGTGATTGTTTTTTGGAAGAATATTTCAATTTTTGTTTGTTTGTAAATCCAACATGGATATTAATTGGCACGGCAAATGTTCGCATCTTGTTGCATTTTTTTTTTAATTTATTTTTTTGGATTCTTTTCGCTGCTACCTGTACAGTTCTTCCCAATTCAATTGCATCGGGGGGGAGTGGGTTTTAAGTAGAAAATTAAAAATAGATTTGAAGATGCCTGCCAGCTTGCCTGCTTTCTTGCGCATGCTTTTTCACTCCCTTGACTAGCGTCTTCCCCCGAACATAACGCACCATCGTAATGAATGCATACAAGCAACATTTCCGGTCCGGTACAGCCATAACGAGGGTGCATTGTGTTCGGGGGAAGATGGTAGGGAATTGCAGTGAGCAGTGAGCACATAATAACTTTGTCGTTCGTCATTTTTTAGGTTAATTGCTCTAACACCGCAACACTCTGATTAGTTGCTCTGATGCCTCTGCCAGAGTGCACCCTGGATGACTTCACATCTCAGCATAGACCATGCACCTGTACCATTTGCACGTCGCGGTACGTTCCGACAGAGGCACCAGAGCAAATAAGGTAAATGATGGAGCCATAGGGTCTGATCGCCCTTTTCTTTGTCCCCACTGATGAGTTTTTTGTCTGCCAAGAAAGAGACTGTGGGGGCATTCCGAGTCCTCTATTTATCAGCCCGTAATTACCATCAGATTCGGTCAAAGCCTCTTTAGTCTGAGAAGGCTCTCGATGTATCTGCCTGTAATTGTGGCCAGATTCAGTCAGCGAAGTCCCGGTCAGAGTCTGCGCTGTACGTCTACCAGGGAAATCTGGAAGCATTCCATGGCTCCGATCACCTCTGCAGTGCCAATCAACTTAGGCATCTGTCTGTGCGCTATGCCTGTGTGAAGACAGATTCATCTAGTCCACCTGTCAGTCGAGATACCTGTCGCATGTTGAGTAGCGGAGCAAGGCCCAAAGTTGGAACGAAAAACATTTTTTTTTTTTTTTTAAAGTGCCTAGCTCTAATGCACAACATTTGAAATGTATATCTGGACAAGTGTTTGTCTAAATTACATTCAAACCATACTTGCGGCGCATCGCGCGCACGTGCGGCGCAAAGCGCACGCGCATGCATGCGTGCGCACGTGGTGGGCCGCATCCCTTAAAATAGGGGTGGGAAAAAAGATCGGGAGTGGTAGGGTTGGATGGCACACCCATTTCCCTAACTAAAAAAAATAGGATTCCACGAGAAAAAAAAAAAAAAAATTGGGGCCCTCACACTTCAGCGGCCCCCAAAGATGTGTTATGTGTCCCATGGTTGAAGATAGATTTAAGATCGGCCTCGCTCCACTGCACAAAGAGTCTACAATTCTCCACATGTATCTGGAGCTGTTAATACTCCCAATACATTCCAAACGTCACGTGTGGAGTAATGGAGCGTGGCTCCGTTTTTTGTACTCCTGACAATATCTCTTTTCTTTTTTCCTAATAATAGGCAGGACAACGTGAACTTTGAGGCCCTACTGACACTAGGGACGTTGCTCCACTACTCAGCAATTGTGCAAAATGAGAATGGATCTTCCCCTAGAACATGGAAATATACACCACCATCATTTTTGTTTTTGTGCATGTGGTGAGTAGTGAAGCAAGGCCCTGAGGGCCATATCCCACTGGCAAGGACAATTGGAATAAGTGTCTGAATCTGGACGTGTTCCACGCAGAGATGCAGAAAAGCAGATCGATCACAGTTTTCTGCACCTCTCCACAAACACGTACAGATTCAGACACTCGTTCCAATCCTCTTTGCCAGTGGGATCTGGCCCTAAGACCCTTCTGGACTCGTTCCAGGCATCATTGGCGTTAGATACATCCAGAAAAATCTGAGTGTGAGTAGGAGATACGAGATACACCCCTCTCTCGATCTGTTTTTTTGTTTTTTTTTTGCTTTTGTTTTTCCAGACGTACATAGTTTTCTTTTGCCGTTCTTCTGACACTGCCAACGACGACTGTATGCGACCTGATAATAGGGTAGGATACATTCAGGGCAACACTGCCCTCCATACAGCGCGGGAACTTGGTTGGAGGGCAGGAACTTGGATCCAGGGCAGCGTTGTCTCCTCGAAACGGCTGCTTATCATGAATGTATCCGACCTGGCAATTAGAAGGATACATCCGAGGGCAACGCTGCCCTCGATCAAAGTTCACGAACACAGCGAAGTAGTGCCCTGCACTACACACACACACACACACACACACACACACACACACACACACACACACAGACACGAGATGAAACACACCCTAAAATTAAAAAAAGAAGGCCCGTGCACCAGCTGCGCACCAGCGAAGTTGCGCCCTGCATGGTGCACTGCACCTGTACGTGTTTTGTGCGCGGTGTGCGCACGTTGTCAGAGGGCGCCCTCCTCTGCGTACCGAGTCCCTGCCTGGTATTGGGCTTTTGCTCCGACGTTGTGGTCTGTAGTCGTGTTCCCCGAATCTTTACAAACCCTAGTACCCGGACTGTACCTTGACGTGGACCGGCCCTGTTGGTGCCTGCCTTGGCAAAAAGGTGCGCCACAGGGCTTTCCATTGGTCCATGCAGGCTCGGCGCCCTGCTGTACAGCAGAGCACTACCGGCCTGTGGCCGCGGTAGCCGTCGGGCTCGCCCTGGGACGCAAAGGTAGAGGGACAGGCGCATTTTTCTACTGCTCGCCGGGTGCCCCTTTGCCAAGTTATGGGCTAGGTGCGACGAGCAGAGGTCACTGTCAGAGAAAAAGAAAAGAGGGACTAGGCGGAGTAAAAGAGAGGAAGAAAAGGAAAAGAGGAGAGAAAAAAAAAAATTGTCAGATACCCACGCTTTAGTCCGGGAGAATCCGGTGGCTTCAGGCCGTTACGGCGTTGCGACTCTTCTACTATCTCTGATATTATTGTTATTATTATTATTGCTATTTTTGCTACTGAGTTTTCCTCTGGTCTTTTCTGCTTGTCATTTCGTGGGAGAACCAACGTTTCGGGTTCTGAGCACAACTGTGGTCTGCGGCCTAGACTGGCCCGACCCTTTGCTTATCACCTAGGGATTTTACCTGTTCGGTTGAGGGCCGCGCGGTGGAACCCCAAAAAGGGGCGACCCGCGGCCACATCGGTAGGAGGCTTATCACCCCCAAGGAGGGTCATAAGCCCCCTCCTTACCATCGGACACGGGTACCCAATAGCAGAAAGCCGACTGCAGGTTTTAGAGAAGGACGGGCATCCATCCGTATCCCGTTATGGGACCAGTGTACCTTGCCTGTTGGCTCCTCGTTTTCCTTTTTCCCCTTTCTGTGTAGTTTACCTTAATTTAATAAAAATTATAGAATGTTAGGATACCGAAATCTGAAAAATACTCGAAAACTTTCGTTCAGAACACAGGGGACGTGGTATGAAGAGAGCCTATAAGAGAGAAGGGAGGTACAGCACAACGAGAGGGACTCGGAGGGAGAGTCGGAAATGAGCGATCGAGAAGCGGACGTCCAGTCCTGGCATGGGCTGGACCAGATCCGCCGAAACCATCCGCTGGCGGGACCAGTGGAGGACGGGCCCGAGGCCAGTTCGGTCCGGGGCAGAGCGAGGCCGACAGGGGCTGGACCATCGAGCGCGGAGGTGAGTAGAATGCGGGACTGAACCCGAGGCGGGGACGCACGGGCACAGGCTGCACGTGGCA